GTTAGTGGAAGTACAAGGTAGGTGTTTCTAATAAAGTGGCCAGTGAGTGGAAGCACAAGGTGGGTGTTTCTAATAAAGTGGCCAGTGAGTGGAAGCACAAGGTGGGTGTTTCTAATAAAGTGGCCAGTGAGTCTAAGTACAAGGCAGATGTTTCTAATAAAGTGGCCAATCAGTGGAAGCATAAGGCATGTGTTTCTAATAAAGTGTCCAGTTGGTGGAAGCACAAGGCAGGTGTTTCTAATAAAGTGGCCAGTGAGCGGAAGCACAAGGTATGTATTAAAGTGTCCAGATAGTGGAAGCACAAAGCAGGTGTTTCTAATAAAGTGGCCAGTTTTTGGAAGTACAAGGTGGGTGTTTCTGATAAAGTGGCCAGTTAGTGGAAGCACAAAGTGGGTGTTTCTAATAAAGTGGCCAGTGAAAGTGTATATATATATATATATATATATATATATATATATATATATATATATATATATATATATAGTGGCAGTTACGTAACTCTTCATAGCAGCACCTTTAAAGGGATTGTGGGTAAGGAAACCCTCCAGATGTTGCAGAGCAGTCTGACTGTTAATTATATTAGTGTTGATTGTGCTGCTCATTAAACACTGAATGCCGGTCTAATAAGTGGCTTCCTGTACTGCGCTGGTGGCGCCATCTGCTGGGCATAAAGTGACACTGTCACTGTCAAATTGTCTGCATGATGTCGGTGAATTATCACTCTACACAAAGACTGATAGCTGCCTTTGCAGGAACAGCGCCTTCTGGAGGACACAGGGGTTAATTCTGTTCAATTCAATTCAACTATATTGTAAATACACATCTGTGTGCGTACAGCATAACAAAAATTTGGGCTGCTTCTCTGGTGCATAAACATTAAGACATGAGCAGGAGTGCACACGCACTATTTGGATGACACACAGCATGCATACACACTATATGTACAAAAACAATAAACCGACAACAGACTAAATACAGAATAAACTGGAGGCACAGGTGTACTGGTGAATGTACAGCATGTATACGTATATGCAAAATATGCAAAAGAAGTGTGGCAATTTCTAGAGATCACGTTCAGTAAACAATGGTATGAGTGTTAGTCAGTTGATGATGGTGTTGGAGCTGTGCTTGGTGATGTAATCGTGGGTGTACAGGGTCCTATATGGAAAAAATACATGGACACATTTTTATATACTTAAAATACATTTCAAACACACTGCAGTCGATGCTGAAACACTAAAATGTATTTCAGAATACATTAACATATTAACCAAATATATTTTAAAATATATTTATTATATAAATGTATGGGAAACATTACACATAGATAGAAATAAATGTGTGTAAATGTGTTTATCAAATCCATTGAAAATGTATGAAAATATCCAGAATCCTGTCTGATGCTCTTCACTGTCTGATACCTTTAGAGATGAGTTTGTGTTCCAGTATCTTCATTTTAAATCTGATCAAATGATCCTTTAACAGGACAGAAGTGAGTGTTGTGGGTATTGATACTCTGTGAAAATGCAGTTATGATCTGATATCTTGTTTATGTGAAATGCATTGTGTGTGAGAGTCTGACGTACCTGGTTAATGTAAAGTACAGTGTAGATCACAAAAGTTAGTACGTTTAGTTACATCTGGAACCTTCATTACACTCAACTCAACACAGATAATAACACATACAGATAAACACATTTTAAATGTATATTTAACAAAAACATTTTTGGCTATTTTCATACATTGCAAACATATATCTGATGAATACATTTGGAATATAGTTTTTTCCATAAGCAGGGGTGATGATACACAGCCTGTGCTGACAGTAAGAGTGGGAGAAGTGTGGCCGCCCATCCTAACAGAGCTGCTGGTGGGGAAATTGGGAATCCAGCTGCAGACTGTGTGACTGATTCCTCGGGTCTTGAGCTTGGAGATCAGTCTAGAGGGAATAGTAGTGTTAAATGCTGAACTGAAATCAATGAGCAGCATTCTGACAACAGATGGTTCAATGCAGTGTGCAGTGCGAAGGACATTGCAACTGGGCAACAGCCACTGGGGCATGTGATGCTGGGTTTCTTTGGTAAGGGTATGATGGACAAGAGACTTTGCCAGGGATAGGTCAAAGATATCTGTGAAAGTGGCTGCCAGCAGGCTGGCACAGGCTCTCAGAACCCTTGGGATGCCATCGGGTCTGGCGGCTTTGCGTGTGCTCACTCATCTGTAGACAGTGTCTCTTCTGCAGAGGGACCTGAGGCTTCACTGCTCAGTTGAGCTTGGTTCCTCTCAAAGCGGGCACAGTATGAGTTGAGTTCAGTTGGGAGGGAGGCGTCTGTGGCCAATGAGATGTTGACTTTGCCCTTGTAGTCCGGCACTGCCTGGATTCCCAGAAGCCTTATGTAAATGTGCAGCAGCAAAAGCAGGACCAAACCCAGAACCACTATTCTGAATGAAGGGTCACAGCAGTGCAGAGTTTTCATTTAGCTTCATTTAATTTATCAGTCCTAAAAAAGTGACAGTTCAACAATCAAACTTTAACAGTTTTCCCCTCAGCCCAAATACACTGTTCGGCATCTGAAGTTTGCTTCTTTAGTTTTAGCACTGGAGCTATTGGGCCTAACGTTGCTAACAAGTAATGGATGCTTAGACCCCATTTTATTTGTATAAAATCAAATATATCAGAATTGTTGGCATTCTTATAAATGCTTATGAGCAAAATGTAAGTGCTGTATCTTCATACACCCTATTTACAGGGGAATTCCACAAATATCTGCACGTAAACATACACTGAAGTGCGTCCCATAGCTAGCAGTATGTAGATAACAGTGTGTCATACAGTGTCAGAAACCACAAAAGCAAGTTTATTATAGACTAAGAGGGAATTTCACCAATTTTGAAACGCTCTGTTCTAGAGAAACTTACTGAGTCAGAGCTGTTCACAGTGGTGGTGATAGGAACCAGACGTCCACCTCTAAAAGCTCCCTCACAGAAAGTTCCTACATGAAATGGTTATGAATTCACTGCCTGATGACTGAGACACTGTTTTATGATAGTTTAGAGAACTTAAACTCCATTCATGGTGGAGGGATACATGCAGGGCGCTGTGAGGCAAAATAGTCCCCAAAGAAAACTTATTATTTCAGATTTTCCACTATTTTCCATCATCAACATTCCATATAAACTCAGAAGACTCGTGTAGGTTCACTGGTGGTTCTGGATAGTAAATAAAATGTCTATATTTGTGCTGTAGTCATGGTGACCCCTCGTTCCTATCACCACCATCTTGTATGATGGATTCCATTTGGTGTGAGGTTACTGTTCTCGTTCTCTAAGTTTTGTTAGATAGGAATCTTCCTGTGTGATGGATGTATGTTAGGAAAAATCTAGTGGGTATATGAAAATCATTTTTTTGGCCTCTAAGCAAGAGATGTTCCTGATAAAACCGCATGTTCACCTGTGGGGAGAACACACAATTATTAGGCTGTCATGTTCGTGGAGCATCAGTGTTGATTTGCAAACAAAACAAAATGCATGCATCACCGCAGGTCTTAAACAGACTAAAAATAACTGTGTAGCACCTCAAACAAAGCACTACTGCACAAGTGACTGATTTGTGAAAATAGCATGTCTGAATTTAATACAAATCTGTGAGCCCAAAAAAAAATTAGAAACTCAGTTTAGGTACGCTCACTGTGCAACGTCAGAGAACACCTATCATTTATTTAATTTACAGTCAAACAGCCATTAAGCACATTATTGATTATTATTGATAACCGTGAGATTATTAGATATACAATAATCCTCTTGTATAGGAAGGAAAAAATAAAAAAGAAACACAGGAGTTTTCAAAACATTTGGTTCAAAAACTGATTAGAAGCTCCAGAGAAAATGAGGCTCCTAACAACCACCTGGAAGACCTGGTAGCCCCCAAAACTGCCCCCATCAGATAAACAGCACTTAAAGCTTTCATCTCTGAGAGAGAGGAGAAAATCAAGCTGATCAGATCTGAAAACATCCACAGGCGTTTCTGTCCATCCTTCCACTGTGAGAAGACGACTCAGCGCTGTAGGTCTGAAAGGATGTGTAGCTGTCAAGAAGAACCTCACTGAGAAAAGGAGACGGACACATCAAACAAAGAAGCTGAACGATGGACTGACCACCCCAGAGTCCAGACGTCAACACCACTGAATGTGTTTGATTACTTCAGAAAATGATCAACCAGCTTCTAAGACTGAACTTTGGAGGTGTGTCTGCAGATTCTTTGAGGAGCTGAAAGTGAGTCTCCTGAACAGAGTGGAAGCTGGAATAAAGGGAGAGAGTGGACACACTAAACATTCAAACAGCTGAGAGTAGATTTAGATGCTTCTGTGTAATTTTCAAATATGTTTTCCTGTTTTTTCCTGATGCTGAAAAATGAATAACTTGTACCTAATGACCTCTCTGACTCTGGGAAAGGACAGTCCACTTTAATACAGGTGCTTCACGTGGCTTATTACTTAAAACAGACTAGAGTTGGTGAAAATCATAGAGGATGAAATCCAGGTGTTCCTGAAACCACTGTTCATTTTAAAGGTGCATAATGTTTGTTTGGGGTTATTATGTCATCTTGGACAAAAGTGTCCTGTGAATGAAGTCTTAGGCTGTAGTTTTGTGCCGGGCGTCTTGTCCTAAGTGCTGGTGTGGTCAGCCTTTGCGTTTTGACCACTGTTCCTCTCTGTTTCCTTCCATTAATAATGAAATTATTTCACACTCACAGTTCTGACACTGACTGTTCGGCTTGTATCTCTGTGCTCTCACTGCTAACTGGCATTACAATCAATAAAGCCACGTAATAAAGCCAGCAGGTCTTCAGGAAAGGTAAACGTTCATATGCGATGAATCCTCTGAGCCAATGAAACAACAGCTCCTCTGTAACATTTGCATCTGAGACATCATAGACAAATGATGCCTGAGAGAATGAGCTTGTTGGCTATGGATGAAATGCCACGTCATGCAAATTATGTACTAAGTCACCTCAAACATTGTAAATGATCACAGACAGCATCTGTTACAGCAGATACAGTCCAAATCTACTCGCATCACTGAGCAGACCAACTTCATCTGACCAGGTAAGACACACGTTTAAGTATTTTTCAGCTCAGTTAACAGGAGTAACTCAAAAAACGAGCAAAAGTTGAGTCTGTTTGGTCTTTTTTGTGCAACTTAAATCTAACAAACACACAGCGTTTCTCCAAAAATACCCAGATATTCCTTTTAATAAGTGAATTCAGCTACTTTGAGGTCACCCATGTATAATCTCTATAGAAAAGCATTGACTAATATTACGGGACGCTCTGGAGCAGCGAGCCTAAGGTCACCGTGCCTAACGCCAAACTTTGGTTAATGGGTGTAAAGCCCCCCCAGCATTGGGCTGTGGAGCAGTGGAACTGTGTTCTCTGGAGTGATGGAGCTCCATCCAATACCTTTGGGATGAGTTGCAGTGACCCAGAACTGACCATCCAACATCAGTACCTGACCTCACTAATACTCAATCAAATCCTCACAGCAATGTTCCAACATCTAGAAGCCTTTCCAGAAGAGTAGAGGTTGTTACTGCAGCACAAACTCACTATTAACACCTTCATTTCAGAGGAAACGCTGAGTCTACAGACCTTTAGACGTATAGTGTATTTAAAGGTATCATTTTCTATAAATACAACATAAAGCTCTTTGTTTAAGTGGCTCCTGTGCTGTTTTGGGGTTGTAGGAGAAATAACAGACTTAAGTACAGTTCATAGTCTAACACCTTCATTTACTGAAAAATAAATAAACGGCATAAATATTTATTTAGTTATTTATTTATTCTTCATTTGTCAACACTTTTTCGGAAATTGTATGATGAAAATCTATACACTTCTACATTTCTTCTATTGATACTATGAGTCTCTATGCTCTCTTCAGTAAAGGACTGTCGGAATATAATTTACATAATTGCAGCAGCCATCAATTGTAAGCTGTAAGCGAACGTCCCTATGCAAATGATTATTTTAATCTCTTAATAATTTGGCTTTAGTGAAACATTTAATTTCCCTCATATGTTCAGTGTGAGATCATTCGGACAAAAACCAAAGTCATTTTACCCACAAATGATTCTGCTCATCTTTACTATCACTGCATTCACACTGCTCCGCCACAACAACGCACGCCAGTTCTGTCAGATGTGGCTGTGATGGGTCTAGCACGTCCAGTTTGGGGGATGCAGTGCACCGAAGTCCCCGTTCACTTGGCATTAACAGTTGTCCTGGGTGATCTGATCATAAGTGGACAGGTGTGCAGGTGTGAACGGGGTTCAGTGCGTCTTGGAGACATGCTGTGATCCGGTCACTCTAATCTTCTTTAGGGTTGGTCAGGGACGCATTTCGCCACAAAACATTTACAGCGTGAACGCTAAAGCGTACTGGCGCATCTTTGAATGAGCTCCATCATCTCTTCTACCATTTGTGTACAAGTCGCATTAGCGGTTCATGTGGTCTAAAAGTTCGTAGCAGCCCAGGGGTGTCATAGTCAACCACTGAAGGGGACATATTAAAAAATCTGAACAACTCTGTGGGCCAGAGAACGACTATGTTTTATTACTGTAGTGCAGTGCAATGTGAAACGAGCTAATATTAATAGAAAATTAAAATATTTTTTTACCGACGTAGTAAACGTAGTATAAAATCTGATCACTGGAGCCGTTTACACCTGGGACCTCCACGTGTCTCAGTAACGGCTCCAGTGATCAGATTTTATACTACGTTGCCTGTTTCGCTGTCTACTTCCCCATTTAGTCAAATCCAATTCCACCCACTAGTTAGGACTCCCCCAATCATGATACCCCCATTGCTAAGAGGGCAAAGGAAAACACAAGCGTCCTCCAAGTTGCGTGAAACCAACCACTGCACCTTTTCGAACTGCCACTAATTTACACCTGGTTTTAAAAAGTAGAGAATAATAAATAAATGCTAAATAAATGCTAATCCAACTTTAGTAAATCAAACAGAATATATAATCATGTAATATGTAATTGTGTTCCTACCATGTTTTATGCGGCCCTGCCTTAAATGCATATGCTGACACCATTAGTCCATACAAATCTCTCAAGATGCTTTAGAGGCCTCATTGATAGAATCTCTTCTTCAGCTCAATTCACAGGTTTACACTGGGGTTTAGGTCAGACCCACCACCATACTTCACCATGGGGAATGGCTTCTTTTCTGCATAACCGCCCTCTAGCGTTCACTGCCAAAAAGCTCTGACCATAGAATCAGATTCTAAAAGCCTTTTTGGCTATTCTTAACATAAATTTACACAGTTGCTGTGTAATTGTATTTTTGGGAGACTTGGTGACCCCAAGTTGCACCTCCTGTAATTATCTAACAATTATCTAAAAGTACTTCTGGGGTTGAGAGGGAGAAGACACTTGTATCCTCTTCCACGAAGCAGGAAGTGGACAAGGATATTTTCAGCCCTGCATGAATGCTGATGTTATGCAATGCTATTTTTATCGCCACTGCCTGATTTATGGAGGTTAACAATCTAGTCATTTGTGTATCCTATGATCTTTCGCATGGTAATAGATAATTAACCACCACTGTAAAGAAACCTGAGCTGGTAAGTTTCTCTACAATGAACCATTTCACATCAAACCACCGAACAAAACAGGAGAGTTTGGGAAAAACTACATCAGAGTTCAGACGACGAGACAATTCTGACGCTCAAAGGCGACATAAGAGGCTACGCTAACCTGGTATCTAACGTTAGCACATGTTTGGGGTGATAGTGACGATTCTCTCCAACCAATCAGCAGTTTGCAGTTTTTCCACATTACAATTTGTTATCAGCTCAGCTTGTTCGGAGCCTCAATGGAGGTGATATCAATAAAGAACCAGGTACCAGATTCGCAGAATGGAAAACCAAAAAAGGCGAGTCCAGTCAAGTCGAGTCGAGTCGAGCCGGTACCATGCAGTGGAAAACCATCTTTAATGACTGTTTACATCTCAACGACTGCACTATACAGAATTACCCTTTAAATAGGGTGTATGAAGATACAGCACTTACATTTTGCTCATAAGCATTTCTAGGAATGCCAATAATCCTGACATATTTAATTTTATACAAATAAAAAAATAATAAGTTCTCTTAAGTTCAACAAACAGGGAGAAAACACTGTATTTTGCCAAAATGAATGTATTTTGCAAATAAGCTGCTCAGCATCAAAGGGATTTTCTCCTTCAAAGCAAACATCTGATTGATATCCCTTTTTATACAGACATATGAGACACCCGTTTATGGGAGTTAGTAATAAATACCACCAACACATAAACAGGGTTTCTTCTTTACTCCTGTTTATTTTTTAAACAGAGGTCCTCTTGACCGTATCTAATATCTTGTGTTTTGCTAAGCAAAGCCACAGACGCTTCACAGCCGTCCAGGCAAATACAATGCAAATGTCCATGACTGTGTAAAACAGCTACACATGCTTCAATTACGCAATGCAAAACACACATAAATGAGCATTGTTTCAATATTTCTATTCAAAAAGAAACAACATTTAAAAAAGACTCATTCAAGAATAACAATAAAAATAATTATTAGAATTAAATCAAGCTTATTTTTGAAAAAGATACTCAGCTCCTTTCAGTATCAATTTGCTTACAATTGTCCGTTCATTGATTTTGCAAATTGTTGCTGTCCAAAGAAAAACAAGTATCTCAAAAACAGTAAGTTTACAGTAGAGGGCAAAAACGGTCTTTACTTTTAATGTAAGTCAAAGTAAAGAGGTTTAATTCCAAGCAATTTGGAACGTTTCTATTGGTCCGTTTATTTCAAAATTTTCACCCAATGTAAAGGGCAGCTGGTGCTCAAAGGATGTAGAAAAATGAAAATCAAAAAAATGGAGAACTTTTTTTTTGGACAGCGGCGAAATATGTTCTGTTGCCACTTTTATGACGGGTGTGTCTAAGAAAAAAGCGTTCATCTTCCAAATTACACTCAAGGACAGGAACAGATCATCTCCAGTCGTATGCAAAAGTTTAAACACCATCTGGTCAAATTTCACGTTTTGTTGGTTTTCTAAGTGAAACTGAGTTTAAGCTGAGTTAATTCACTACAGAGACACACTTAAATATGACACTTTTCAAATTTTAGTGCACCATTTCTATTGATTTGCTGGGTTTAAGATGTTGGAAGAAAATAAAACACACAATATGAAATGTGCCATAACTTTTGCACAGGTCATATTTAATGTTTTATTTTTTCCAATATCTTCAGCAAACAGTAATTGCATAGTAAAATATCCAGTTCTCTGTAGAGGATGTGTCACTTATTTACGCTTAGAAAATCAACAACAACATGGAATTTGAACAGGGGTGCCCGCACTTCTGCATACATACTGTATACAGAGGAAATTTATGTAGCTCCATTAATGTATGTAATGTATTATTCATATCTCTCTATTAGAGACATGTAATAGAGAGTAATGCAAAAAATGCAATTCTTATAAAAATCAGTAACAGGATTCGAATGAGTCACAGGAAAAAGTAAACACACGTGTATTTTACCGGAAACTTTTGAAACTGTAATGTTTACATGCTACTTCAAACTCCTTTGCTTAGAAAATGTGAGTGAAAGTCCGCCTTGTGTGATTCGAGCCCTTTAAATAAAATCTCTGCTGATTACGCTGTTCCTTCCTCAGCTGAAGATGAAGTGGACGGCTGGTGTGAAGTTCGGACCGGGCGGCTCAGTGGTGGTTCTGGCTGTGATCTTAGGAATGTCTACACTGGGTGAGCTATACGGGAGTATATGGGCGTTTTCACACTTGGGCCGTTTCAGTGTCTGAAGTGGACTCAGACCGCTGAGTCATGGTTTCTTTTGCATATGTGAACACGCCAAACGAACTCAGACCCCCCTAAACGGCCCCAAAAACGAACCGAACTGAGACCACCTCTCGAGGTTTGTAGTTCGTTTTGTGGTTTGATTAATTTGTGCATTGTGAAAACAAAACGGCCCCAGTCCGCTTCAGCTGTGCTTTATGGTGAAGAGCTCGAGGCTGACCGTACACACAGCCAGTCTTCAGCACTTCAGCAGGTAAACAGACCAAGGGTCATTTATACGGTTCTAAAGTCTGTCCGTGGTCTGAGACAGACAGCAGCGCTGACTTACTAAAGCGATCAGATGCGAGAGCTCGCGTGATTTAACCGTGTTAAAGGCTCGAGCTGGGCACGCAGCGCAGTTTTCAGCTGCTTTCACTCTGAACGCTGAATGAATGAAAAGCTTCAGTGAGGAGCACAGCCGAACACGGAGCCCACCGCGCCGGAGCCCACCGCGGCAGACCCGCAGGGCCGTGTTTCCAATTTTGCGCGATGGACTTCGGCCAACTGTTTCAGCGCGGCCAACAGGAGAGCAGCAGGCGGGTCTGGTGGCTCTTCTCGTCACCTGATAGGTCGGATTTATCAGAGAGCACTGCCCATTTTGCGAACATTGCGCGCACAGACAGTGCTGTGAAAGGGGTCGGAGTTCTAACAGAGTTGTGGTCTGAACAAGAAGTGGTCTGAGATCCCAAAGGACCAGAAAGAAGACTGAGTCCTCTTTATAGTTCACTTACATTGTGAACGCAAAACGAACTGATGTCATTTGCAGTTGGTTCCCTTCCAGGTTCAATTTAACAGAACTCGGTTCGGTTCTTTTAAAATGAACTATGTGTGAAAACACTGTAAAAGAACCGAACCGAGTTCTTATATGTTCTTTAACATGATCCAGAAATGGACCCCTTGTTTTAGCATATTTATCAGTGGATCCTCTGAATGAGTATTTACTTTTTCCATTTTTTAAAAATGTAATACCCAGGCATGTTACTGACCTGTTGCCAATTAACCACCAGGTGTTTTTTTTAGCATTACACAACTTTACCAGCCTTTTGCTGCCCCTGTCCCAACTTTTTTGGAATGTGTTGTTGACATCAAATTCAAAACGGGCATATATTTTTCAATAAATTGTAGTAACCCAGCATCACCTTGTTCACCATCTTACCTTTTCGAGTATAAAAAATGCTTCATTTGTAGAGATTTATGTATGATCTGACTTAAATGTTTCCCACATGATGATTAAGTGACCCTTATTAGTCCCACAACGGGGAAATTTCACCTCCGCATTTAACCCATCCATGCAGTGAAACACCACATACACACTAGTGAACACACACACACTAGGGGGCAGTGAGCACACTTGTCCGGAGCGGTGGGCAGCCCTGTCCACAGCACCCGGGGAGCAGTTGGGCGTTAAGTGTCTTGCTCAAGGTTACTTCAGTCACATACTGTAGGCTCAGGGGATCAAACCGGCAACCTTCCGGTCACAGGGCTGGTTCCCTAACCTCCAGCCCACAACTGCCCCAACACTATCTACATGACACTAACTACAGCAGGGGTGTCCAATCTTATCCGCAAAGGGCCGGTGTGGCCGCAGGTTTTCACTCCAAACAAGCTGGAGCTCACCTGACTCCACTTGTTTAATCGGTCGGTCAAACATTTCATCAGGTGACCTCCTGCTGTGTTGGAGTGAAAACCTGCAGCCACATTGGCCCTCTACAGATAAGACTGGACACCCCTGCTCGTCAGTTAGAGAAAATACATGAAAGATTATTTAGATAACAGTGTCAACAGAAACGTTCATCTAAACTGTGTTTTCTCTTTGTAGATCTTTCTACACTCCTGGACTCAACAAAATGCCACAGAATTGTCTTGATTGATGGTAACTATACTAAACTAATACAGATGCCAAACACAACCAGGTCTTGTCTGAATTACTCTGGTAAGTCGTGCTAGAGCTTAATTCATTTAAATGTAACTTACAGCAATGTAGTGACCAGTACGAGTGAAATGACACTTCTGGTTTCTGTCTTTCAGCAAATTTACCACCACTCAGTAATGTAACCTGCGTTTTATCGTTTAACACATCTGAAAACAACAGTAAGTTTGGCCTAAACCCATTGGAGAACATGGGGAACTTCACCTTTTCTCTCTTTTTCACATCTTTTCTGTTACCCCCAAGACTTGTAATAACTTGGTTTACAGTCCCTTCGGTTCCACTTCTTTACCACGCTAGTGGGGTACACACTGGAATGTACCAGATAATAGTTTGGAGACAGTTTAACTAAATTACTCAGACATGCCAAACCGGTTCTAGATATTAACCACGTCAGTGTGTGGTACGAACTCCACGGTTCTGTGTTATTTTGAGTAAAATGATGTTGAAAGTGCCAAGACAGTCTGACTAAATTACACTGAAATGACCACTCACCCAGAAGAGTTTTCATTTAGTTGGTTGTAAGATCACAATAAAGATTATGGAGTTTAGTTTTAGTTTAGTCATTCTGTTCTGTAGCTTTAATTAAGCCTTTTCATTATGGGGACTTTAGGAGAGCCCAGGCTGACAGCGAGAGCTAGCCTAGCCTCGTAACTGTGTTGTTCCCTTTTCTGAGCGCTTTTCTGAGTTTAATAAAATACAGCTTTTAATTTATTTTTAAAATATATTCTTAACAATGTATTTTGGTGGAATTACACAGGTCGAGCAGTTTAAAGTGTGAGCGAGTCTTGTGCAATCCCTAAAACTACGACTGCAGTTCATAAGAAAGTTACGCAAAGCCATCTTACAAAACATGTTTCCTCTGATTCCTCCTGGTTCACTCCTTCTAAAAGTTTAAGTTTATTGTTTATTGGCTTCTCTTAAAGGGGATGTTACTCTTGAGTCATTTTCCCCTGTCTGATAAGGTCGGCTCACTGTAGCCATAGCTAAGCGCTCAGCTCACTATATCATAAATAATCCAAATGAAACAAAGGGGCTACGGACTCATAGGCTTTAGGTTTTATATTGGTGGTAATGTGTGAAGTAATTCCTATTATGAATATGCATGTGTGTCCAGTTTTGAGGCCTTAAAAACACAGTATCACAACTAAATTTTACGTGTTAAGGTGCAAAATTTTATTAATGTGTTAACGTGCATGTTTAGACATGTTTTGAGCCCAAAGGCCTCCCATAATGCTTAGACGGTTGCGCCACTCAAGAGCCGGAGCAAAGCTTTTTAATGAGCTGAGTCGAAGGTACAAGCACAATCAAATTTATTTAAAAAACTTACACCTGAAACTCAAATAAATACCACACTGATCACATTTCTAAATCCATGATCCTCACTTAAGCATATTTACCTGCTGCTTCTTTACTGCGTCAGTGCAAATGGCAGAGAAAACGAGTAAGGTATTACTGCATGCTGGAAGACCTTCAAATGGGTGGGGTGTGACTTCAAATGGGCGGGCTATAGTTTAAATAGGCGGGCTATAGCTCCAACTGGGCGGTGCGAAACTCAGAGTGGTCCGCTATTGGTTGCTAAAAGTTGGGGGTCAGAGCTGCTGCTTTTTGGGCCAATGAACATCAGTGATGCTGATACTTACTTCTATTCTCATGTGTTCATCAGAAACAAACAAGCGTTTTCATATTATTTCGTTAAATGAATCATTTAGCCTCAGTCATTAAAGAGCTCATGAGATCAAAACATTTTGTGCTCATGGTGCCTCCCGACCACTCACCCAGAAGAGTTTTCATTTAGTTGGTTGTAAGATCACAATAAAGATTATAGAGTTTAGTTTTAGTTTAGTCATTCTGTTCTGTAGCTTTAATTAAGCCTTTTCATTATGGGGACTTTAGGAGAGCCCAGGCTGACAGCGAGAGCTAGCCTAGCCTCGTAACTGTGTTGTTCCCTTTTCTGAGCGCTTTTCTGAGTTTAATAAAGCCGCGTCTCTGAGCTTCTCCTGTGGGCACCACGCTACGATATTAAGAGGTCAATACTTCCGCCAGTTGACTTCCGCTCTATTTCCCCGTTAACTCATTACAGTCTGATGTTGCTCCTTTAACAGTAAACCGCCCTGACTGACCTCAGGGCGAATGAACCAACAAAGTAAAGTACCAAAGTACTTTGGCTTGCTCTGTGGTTTCCACAGTGATCAGGCAGTGCCTGTAAAAACTCCACCCACATCACTGCACTGGAAGTGAAATAACAGAAATTCCTCCCTCTGGAAAACTAGTCCCACCTCAGAACCACTCACTGACTCACACATAAGTGAGTTCAGAGATGGTGGCTTTTCTGCTCTTTTATAAGTTCAGGGAAAAATTATCCTCGCAAATCAACATAAACACTGTCCTTTGGCAAGGTCTTCAGGACAGCATAGAGGAGGAGGTCATGTTGTGGACAAATCTTCTGGTTAATCCTTTATAGCAGAGGTTTTTTTAGATTATTCCCCTGTAGTTTGTCTGAGGGAAGCTTGGAATGTCCCACTATAATAAAATGTTATTGTTTTTGTTCTTCTTCTTCTTATTATTATTATTATACCCTGTAATCATGAGGTAGCTGAACATGAACTAACCTATTTGTCATTATCTCCCTGATAGACAATACATATGTACAAACTGGTGTGTGGTTATTAAAAACAAACAACATATATGAACTCAAAATAACCAGAGGGAAGACCAGACCCAGAGTACCGATTTGCTTTGTCAGTGGTAAATGTAACAGCAGCTGGCCACAGTGGATTGAAGGTAGGTTAAGAATATTTTCATAATTATAAAGTTTGAAATACACAGTTTAAAGTGTTCACATAAAGCTGCAGTGCACTAAAGACGTACTGGCCTCAATCAGTTATAATAAACCCACAATGCTGCATATTCTCTGCTCTGCTTATCAAACGAGACACTGCACAATCATGTGTTCAGTAATGAAAAACAGCGTAACTGTGCATTAAACCGTTCCAAAAATACTCTTAAAAAATGACTCTGTTCTTCTGTTTCTGTTGGTCAGTACGCTCTAATTTGGCGCCTTCTCTCACAGAATCCTAACAAATATAATTTCTCCTTACTGTTGTCCTCACCAAGTTGTTGAAGAAATTACTCTTTTTTCTTGGTGAAGACAACATGAAGAAAATATAATAAACACTATCATAACAGTAGATTTTTAAGAGGGTGTTCTCTTTTTTTCACCTCCCACCAATCAAGACTGGACAAGACATCCAGTTTCTCCAAATGAAGGTACGGAAATTTCAGCCAATGTTCATGATTATCAACACTAAAATATGTTGAATATTGACATTAAATCTTAATTGTTCTCAGGACTAAAAACATGTTGGTTTGTTGTCATGTGGCCAAATATCAAGCACATATAACTAACTGTGTTTGCAGAATGTACGATTATCTGCCTGAATCCAAATTCAACTTGTGATAATGCCAAGTACAAACCATGCAACGGTAAGAATGTTCATCTATTTACATTTTTTGGCCTGTTTGGCAGAATTAACGGGCAGTTTGATCACATGTCCTGAACACTGCTGTCTATACATTTGGGTCCAAAAGTCTCAGACCGTGTTGAAACTTTTGATTTAATGCAAGAAATAAACAACAAAGTTTTAGAATTTTATCAAACTTACTTAAATTGCAATGAGGAAAGAATAAAGATTGAAGATTCTGTACGATTTCTAGGCCACTTCTTAAAGCAAAATGAAGCTAATTTGGGCCACTGACCATTACGGTCTCTGTACTGAAAGGTCAGAGTGTTTTTAGTCTGATCTCTTCCAGTGAAACTGGATCAGATGACTCTCAGGTGAATCTGATCTGCTGATCAGAGGCTTTTACACAAACCTGTAGAGGTCATTCCAGCTCGAGTGCACGCTGCCATTAGAAACTCTGAAATTCATGTTCAAATTTCAGAGATTCTACTTTTGACTCAAAGTGTTACGCAGATCATTTAATTTGCAAGGAAACTTTTTGGATTAAATAAGAAAGGAATCCAAAATAGGAGCATTTTCACTAGCAGTCTCAGACTTTTGGACCCCAGAACACACATACATGTATCTCCAAAATGGCAGCTTTACAGGTCAAAGTGTTAATGGAAGTTAATGAAAAGAGATTTTATTCTGAGCAATTTTGATAAAATGACCATTTTATCAGCTCCACTGACCAAATAGTTTCACTCTGTAGTTCTACAGTTACAGACTGTAGTCCATCTGTTTCTCTGATACTTTGTTACCCTGTTCTTCAGTGGTCAGGACACCCACAGAGCAGGTACTATTTGCGTGGTGGATCATTTTCAGCACTGCAGTCACACTGACGTGGTGGTGGCATCTTAGTGTGTGTTGCGCTGGTACGAGTAGATCAGACACAGCAATGGCGCCATCAAGGAGACATTAAAAAAAAAGACATTAGATTGTGAAAATGTATGTATTGTGACAAAAGCAGCAGGGGGTATTCCACAAAGCAGGGTTTCTGAGTTAGCTAGATAACTTGAACCCAAAGATGAGGACTGTCCAATGAGAATGTCCCTCAGCTCTTTTGCTACTGGACAGGCTTGACTTTAAGCTTAAGTTATCTAGCTAAACTGAGAAGTCCTGCTTTGTGGAATTCCCCCTGGGTCAGCAGCCAGATCAACAAAACACAATAGATGGGCAAAGACGATAACAAACCGGATAAACAAGCGAGGGTCGTAACCAAAAAGCAAACACACAGGTAGACTAAGACAAAAAGGACAAATCCGAGTAACGAATCAGTGACGAGAAAACAAAGCAAAGTCATAAACGGGACAGCGATCAAACAAAGAACAGCTCGGTCTGCACCAACAGGTCAGAGGCCACACCTCGCAAAGACAGACAGGCTTATATACATGGAAACACGGGTGATGGTGATCAATATTCAGGTGACTGAGATCTGCTGGTTGGCTTGTGATTGGTTGGTGGAGTCATGCGACAAACTGAGGGATTCTGGGAAGTGGAGTCCATAACAGAATGAGAGTCTGAATGAGAACCGGGAAGCGTGAGACTAAAAGATCAGGTGCATCCAGTAGTTAATTACTATTTTAATAGTAAAACATATGTTAGTAAAATCACAACAAAATTGTTCTATTACCCGCAAAGTACATCACTCATAGTTTGGGCCCCTTGGTTCCAGCGGAAGGTGATGTTAATGTAAAAGCACACAAAGACATTTTACGCAGCTTTGTGGAAGCAGTTTGGGGAAGAGCCTTTCCTGGTTTGACGAGTTTGGTGTGGAGGAACTCGTGGCCTCACAGAGCCCTGACCTCAACCCTACTGACCACCTTTGGGATGAACTGGAACGTTAATTGTGAGCCAGGCCCTCTCACTCAAAATCAGTGCCTGACCACACAAATGCTCTTTTGACTGAATGGGCACAAATTCCCACAGACTCTCTCCAACATCTGTGCAAAGCTTCCCAGAAGAGTGGAGGCTGTTACAGCTGCAAAGGGGGGCAACACCATATTAATGCTTATGGTTTTGGAATGGGATGTCCAACAAGGACATCTAGGTGTGATGGTCAGGTGTCCACATACCTTACCGTAAATGTGTAATTATATAGGAGGAATGGTGGGGAGCAAATTATTTTGAAAACAAAGTTGAAACCATACTGACAGATTCAGTCTTGTAGCTCACGGTTTCCATTAGCTGGTGAAAATCTCACGGCTACAAATAGGTTCCCCACAGCGATTGTTACAAACAGACTGATTTCACTTCTATCAAAAAGAAAGAATGTTTTTGCCCTCTCCTGTCAAGCTGCCCTTTTGCAGATACTTGTTTCGTGTCAAAATTCCCTATGTTATACTCGGTAGCAACACAAGGCACTTTATTTGTGTTCATTTTATTTGCAGATACCACCTCTAATGAAGATATAATTGAGTTCATAAATCAATCATCATACTGTTCAAAATGTGGGAGTCCTGTACAAAAACCAGAAGTACAGATTACACTACCCAAAGTGGAATTCTCTGGTGGAAGCGCAGATAAAACAGATAAGGCGTAAGAAAATGTCAAATATAAGTAATACAAACTTCAGTATTTTGGGACAATCTTATCAGTTATCACAACAATAGTTTTCTTTCTCTCCCACACCTTCTTTGTGCTCTTCTCTCCATCATAAAGTGAAGTGATGAAGAACTTAACCTCCAGTGTTCTGGAACTGATGGGAAACAAGACGACAGCGTCCGTGACCGTGGGAGACGTGCAGGGTGTTTTTGTGAAACCTGAAGATCCGAAGAAGCCGGAACCTGCCTCATTCATCTACTCTGAAGTAACAAACCTCAGCGTAAGTAAACAGTGGCTTTCAGAAACATGACGAGGAAGAACATTCATTTTTCCCGAGTCTGCCGTTAGCTGCCTGCTGTTTATCATGCAGGTGTCTGTGGTTCAGGATATCACACACACTTTGGAATATGTGCAAGATTTTTTAGTACATTAGCAGATTAATGAAACTGTAAAAATGAATAAATTGCTTTGATGTTATCTGCTTTCTCTGCTTCACTTGATCCTAAAATAAACAAACAGACTATCGTAAGTGGGATGGCGACAACGATTTTGCTTCGATCTCACATTGAAAATACAACCTGTTTCCAAAAAGGTTCGGACGCTGTGCAAAATGTAAATAAAACAAAATGTAATGATGTGCAAATCATTTAAACACTATATTTAATTGAAAACAGTACAAAAACAACATATCAATTGTTGAAAGTGAGAAATTTGATTGTCTTTTGAAAAATATTTGCCCATTTTGAATTTGATGCCAACGACACATTTCAAAAAAGTTGGGACAGGGGCAACAAAAGACGCTAAAAAAAACACCTGGGGGAACAGCTCACAGCTAATTAAGTTAACAGGCAACAGCTCAGTAACAAGAATTCTGTATAAAAGAACATTTTATACAGTCTTTCAGAAGTAAAGATGGGCAGATGTTTAACATAAAATAGCAAAGAACTTGGGGACTTAATCATCTATGGTACATAAGATCATTAAAAGATTCCGAGAATCTGGAGAAATTTCTGTATGCAAGGGACAAGGCCAAAAACCAACACTGTATGATCGTGATCCTCAGGCCCTCAGACAGCAATGCATTAAAAACAGACATGATTCTGTAGTGGAAATCACTGCATGGGCTCAGAAACACTTCTGAAAACCACTGTCTGTGGAAAACATCCACAAATGAAAGTTAAAACTGTAAAACGCAAAGAAGAAACCATATATAAACATGATCCAGAAACGCTGCTGCCTTCTCTGGGCCCGAGCTCATTTAACATTGACTGAGCTGAAGTGGCAAAGTGTCCCACAAATGAAAATTTTAAATTCTTTTTGGAAACCATGGACCCTGCGTCCTCCTAGCTAAAGAGAAGAGGGACCATGTGGCTTGTTATCAGCACACAGTTCAAAAGCCAGCATCCGTGATGTTGGAATGGAGGTGCTTAGTGCACATGGCATGTGTGACTCGCACATCTGTGAAGGCACCATCAATGCTGAATAGTACATACAGGTTTTGGAGCAACATATGCTGCCGTCCAGACGACGTCTACAGCAGTCGGTCTCCTCAGTTCCCAAACACTTACAGAGTGTTGTTAAAAGAGTTGTAAGTGATGCAGCACAGCGGTAAACATGCCCCTGTCCCTTTTTTGAAATGTGTTGTTGGCATCAAATTCAAAATGGACAAAAAAAAAGAAATTGTACTATTGCAATTAAATATAGGGTTTAATAATTTGTACATCATTGCATTGTTTTTATTTACATTTTGTACAGCATCCCAACTCTTTTGGAAATTTGATTGTATGAGAAAAAAAAAAATCAAACCTATAATTGAAGGAGATTTAGTTTAAAAAACAAAGACCCTTGCAAAAATACACAAAAACAAGTGTTTTACTAAAATGTAATTAAGCTTTACCATTGCCACTCCTAGTGTTTAACATTAATTTAAAATTTGATTTTTAATTGAATAATTTTCTTTTAAATCTGTTTTAATCATGTTTTAATCATGTTTTTATTTAACATTTCATTAACGTTTTTTTCTGTCTTACTTTACTTTTTAAATGACTATTTTCTCATCTGTAAAGCACTTTGAATGACAGCAGTACGAAAGGTGCTATACAAATAAACTTGCCTTGCCTTCTTATATTCACCATGACACACAAACACAGTGTGTTCCCTGCTTTCAAAGAATAGCATAAAAATAAAGAACAAAGTAAAGCAATAAGCTCCAAACGTTAAATCCACTTTGCTGTAATATTGGCAGTTCCTTCCACACAAAAAGTAGTATCCTTTTGCTTTACAGACAGAGCCAAACTGCTGTCTCAGCATCAGGTTCAGCTCAGCTTTTTCAACACTTGGCAAATCAACCTAAATTTTGTTTTTTGCAGCCCATCTATAAAGCATTTCTGGCTAATCCCAGTTTGTTTAGTTGGTATATCCTGTGTGACAAGCCTTCGGGTTTGCCCTGAGTGAGCATCAAATTCATGACCCTTAAGTTAGCGGTCAGAAGCCCTATGGGGTGAACCACCTGGCAGACACTAGAGAACAGTCTCAAGTGCACAGCAACTAAGAGTAGGGAAAAGGGAAAAGAAACGAAAGGGGCTAAGAACTGGGACAATAAACTAGACGAAAAATGAATTAAAAAGAAATGCGGTAAACAAGCAAAGTAACTGGTCATGGTGGAGGATTAAATCCCTCGATCACTGCATTGCCAGACTAATGTGCTACACAGTGTGTCACCGAAGGGGGATAATGGCTGTGCTAACTAGATCCTTAAAAGGACGACCCAGACTAAGAGCTCCCTGAAACTGAAACCAAAAAACTCCCTTCTTTTATCTCACCCTCACCTCTCCCTAAACTCGGAGAGTAAGACACACTCAAGAGTTTTTTCATTTATTTATACTTACACTGGAGAACAACTAGAGAAAAGCAAAGACTCAAAACTCAAAATTACCTGCCAAGTCACAGCAACGTGCTCGTGGCACCATGAACTCAAGACTGGGCACCGAGCGGCGTGTGAGAACCCCTTAAGCAGGGTGCCCACAGCTGCTACCGCTCATCCCTAATTACTCAGTCCTGGCTCTCTGGCCCCTCCTAGCAGTGAGAGGTGGCGTAGCAGGCTGCCTGGATGTCACATCACAGCTGTCAAAAAGCATTCGTAGGATCAATGACAGGTTCAGAATTTGATGTAGGCCTCTTCTTCAGAAATATCATAAATATTATATTATTACTTTTGAATGTTGTATGATTTTTTTTAATTAGTGGGAAAGTGTTCTAAAAGTGTTCTTCTAAAAATGTGAAAAGTAACTGTATTCTGAATTTTGCCTTTACACAATGTAACTTGGACTGAATACAGATATTTCTGTATTCTGAATACGTATTCCCAATACTTGTATTCTGTTACATCCCCCTGCATGCATGTAAACACAATTTTATGAAAAACTGATGTGCTGATAGGCTCACGCGAGCATCTTGAAAATGTTAACATTTTGTAATAATGAAATGAATCACCATAAAATGCTCATCAGCACCGTTAAATATCCTGAATTCATGACAGTGTAGTAAGTTTTCCTTTGATTTAGCAGTTTAAATGTTTCCCTCTTTGCAGATCATCCAAGATACCACCCAAACGCAGAAGTATCCCAGGGCGGTCTCAGTACCAAAGGAGGCTTTCGAAAAAGCAGCCAACCAAAGCAAAACTGCACTGTTCACAGCTGTGTTCCGATTCCCAGAATTCCCCAAGGTACAAATGGCCCCCGCTTCAATTATTAGAACGTTAACGTAGTATATAGTGTATTTACTGTGATGTTTATGTGATTTGGTTTCTTTTTAGTGTGCTCTCAATAAAAGTTAATAACAACAGCTAATCCACAACACTATTGCTCAATCAGGACAGTCAGTGCAGCTCTGATTCTCTGTCTCTCTCTCTCTCAGGATGAGAAGAACAGCACAGTTCTGAATAATGAAGTCTATTCCATTGATATGGGAGCAGAAATAGCCAACCTGACAGACACAATTAACCTCACCTTCAGGAATGTTAAAAGGGTAATTGAGAAACTTTAATCTGATAATAAACACAAAAGCACAACACAAGTAGCCTATCCATCTGACAGTAATAAGCTTTTTATCCACAATGTGTTTATAGTATGTTCTGAAATTGGTGCACATTCTAATATAATCCCTCTTTATCACAATCAGAGTCTGAACTCATTCCTAAAAAAGTCAGCTCAAAAGCTCAGGACCAAAAAAAAAGTAGAAAGCTAAGGATTGCTAGACAAAAACCATCCAGCAATGCTTCACATAGGAGAGAGGTCTGGTGGTGGTGGGGGGGGGGTATTTGTAGGAGAGGTAATCAGTGAAAGAGGAAACAGGTGAGGGGAATGAGTGATGGCCTCAGAAGTCAGGGGAGGATGACCTCTGGTGTCCAAAGTTGGTAGTGCTAATGACAGTGTCAAACAATGACACATTTAACTACAGCTTTACCAACTGTTAATATCAATTAATTGATATTGCTGTTGTTAGAAGAAAACCAAAATAGTAACTTCACAGGAGAAGGAAAAAACCTACTTTACTTTTAATGTAAGTCAATGAAACCAGAGTTTTTTCCAACTCATTCTGGACTGTTTCTTTCCATCAATTCATCATGAAATTTAGAAACAATGTAAAGGGCAACAGGTATTTTCAAATTATGTCAAAAACTGAAAAACGACAAAAATGGAGATACTAGGTTTTCTTCCGACAGCAGCGAAATACATATTTAACACCAAAATACTAACATCTGAAAGATACTAAAAAAGCAGAAGAAAGTGCCTGTTTTCAGATGTTTTCTCTCTTTCATTTAAAAATCGGGGGAAACATCTGGAACAATAAGAAAAAATTGACTTTATTTGTCTTTGTTTACTAAAGGTGGCTTAGTTGTAACAACTACCCCCGCAGTATGGAGGCTGTACTTTAGCCCAGCTAACACTTGCTGTGAGCTTGTCAGCTGCTTCTAAACAGTGTTGCGCTGTAGGAAACAAGATGGTCTTTAGAGTAATATAAGGTTCGATTTTGAGATTCACACAAACAGCTCAGTAACTGAAAAAAAACTTGTGCTGAAAAAAATGACTTACATGCCCTGAAAACACTCTTTGGCTCAGACCTCTTTGAAACGCTGATGAATCACTCTGAATTTTGGTGGGAGGCCGCGGATAGGAAATGTAGTAATGTGGCCAGAAGCTCACGCTGCTTGACCTTTTTTATTTATGTAAAGAGTCTGTGTTAATTTGTGCCCCACCTTAGGTTGTTCCCCCAACAAACATGCTTTCTTGACTTAAACTCACTTGAATTAAAAATGTAAAAAACCCAAACTGCCAAAATGTATTGCCAAAACAAACTGAAAATGGTGCCCCCAGAGTAGTTGGTGAGCATGTATGTCAGTCAATAAAACAGATCAGCATGTGGAATCAGAGCTTTCTTTACATTCCTTGCATATTATAATAAATGCAATAATAGCATTGAGAAATTAGCGCATTAACAGAGAAAAGTAGATCAAAAAAGAAAATCTCTATATTAAAGAATTTACAACTGCGTTTCCAAAAAAGTTGGGACGCTGTGCAAAATGTAAATGAAAACAAAATGCAATCATGTGCAAATCATTTAAACCCTATATTTCATTGAAAATATTAGACAATGTATATCAAATGTTGAAACTGAGAAATTTCATTGTTTTTTGAATAAGATATCTCTGTATGTAAGGGACAAGACCAAAAACCAGTATTTGCTGGCCGTGATCTTTGGGCCCTCAGGTGGCACTGCATTAAAAACAGACATGATTCTGTAGTGGAAATCACTGCATGGGCTCAGAAACACTTCTGAAAACCACTGTCTGTGAAAACAGTTTATCACTGCATCTACAAATGCAAATTAAAACTATAAAATGCAGAGAAGAAACTGTACATAAACAGGAGCAAGAAACACCACTGCCTTCTCTGGGCCCGAGCTCATTTAAAATGGACTGAGGTGAAGTGGAAAAGTGTCCTGTGGTCCGACGAATCAACATTTGAAATTGGTTTTGGAAATCATGGACACTGTGTCCTCCAAGCTAAAGACCACTCAGCTTGTTATCAGTGCACAGTTCAAAAGCCAGTATTCATGATGGTACAGGGGGGCATTAGTGCACATGGCATGGGTGACCGGCACATCTGTAAAGGCACCATTAATGCTGAACGATATATACATGTTTTGGCAACATATGCTGCCATCCAGACGACGTCTTTTTCAGGGAGGGCCTTGATTATTTCAGCTTTCAGATTATTATCTTGATTATTTTAAGACAATGTCACCACATATTCTGTGAATGTGAAACCACATTCTGCATGTATTACAACAGCATGGCTCCATATTTAAAGAGTCCGGGTGCTAAACTGACCTGCCTGCAGTCCAGATCTGTCACCACTGATAACATTTGGTGCATTATGAAATCAAAAAGCAGACCCTAAACTGATGAGCAGCTGAAATTCTGTATCAAACAAGAACAGGAAAACATTTTACTTTCAAAACTACAGCAGTGTCTCCTCAGTTCCCAAACACTTACAGAGTGTTGTTAAAGGAAGAGGTGATGAAACACAGTGGTAAACAGGCCCCCGTCCCAACTTTTTTGGAACATGTTGTTGGCATCAAATTCAAAATAGGCATATATTTTCAAAAATTAATAAATTTCTCAGTTTCAACATTTGATATGTTGTCTTTGTAGTATTTTCCTTTAAAAATATGGTTTACATGGTTTACACATCATTGCATCCTGTTTTTATTTACGTACTGCATAGCGTCCAAACTTTTTTGGAAATGGGGTTGTATTTGCAAACTACAGCTTTAGGAGTGTTGTCTTCATAACATTTATATAATTTCTATTTCTATTATACTATTACCTAAACAGATCTGTCACTTTTTTTCTCTGCAGAGTGGCTTCACTCTTCACTGTCACTCTTGGGATGGAGAAGGTTGTCACATTTCAGTGTTGTATATCAAGCAAATGTGGTTTTCTATATTTTTTTACATATATTTTTTTTTTTAAATAAGTGAACAGTTTCGGTACACTTTGCATGTGAATTTAATAACTGACCACTTACTCTGCTGCCACCAGGGGCAAAGCCGAACTGGACCACTGAAGGGTGCTTCACCATTGAAACTGATGATGGCGTAACCTGTGGATGTGTACATTTGACCTTCTTTGCCCTGTTGATGGCGGTGAGATTCTCCATTGATCACCTACATCAGTAATCACCCAGCCTGCTCCTGAATAAAATAGCCATAGTTTGAAAACACGTTCCAGTATATCAGCAGCTCATAACGTACTTCATTTTCGTAGAGGTGGAGATCTGTTCTACCTCCCTGCAAACCACATTTCACCCACCTGCTTCATCTGATTGCACTTTTACGACTTATTTATGATGAACTAGGGTTGGAACTGAATTCTGTCTAATGACTTTTTGATCTGTACCACCTGAACAATGTTTGAGAACTTTTTTGTGACCTGAAATAATTATGTATCTCCGGGCGTGGGTGCACCAGTTGTTTGTTAAAAATATTAGGCTAGTTATAACATAACACTACAAGTACTAATTTCTAAGTTGAGCTTAGTAGTTACTTAATATTTACATCCACTTCTAAGCAGGATAAAGTTGTAGTGAAGCCAACGGGAACCACACTCTTTTATAGATGGTTCATCAAGGGTTCTTTACTAAAGACAGTGGCTTTATAGGGAACCATGAACACTCAAAGAACCACTTATACGCTTAAATGGTGCTTTGCATGCTGAAATGGTTCTTCAGATTGATGGGAACAGGTTGTATAGAGTTTTTTATAGCAGCAAAAAAGGTTCTTGTATGCAAGCTTGACATCATAACAGTAGCAGAACCATTTTTGGTACTATAAAGAACCATATACAACATGCCTTTTTAAAAAAGGTTCTGCAGGCGCAAAACATTTAGATGATAAAATTTCTGCATAATTCAGTGAGTGAGCTGTAATCAGAGAGATTCAGAGGGGTTTGGTGTGAAATGGTTCAGATGTCTTTACAGTGGTGGTGATAGGAACCAGGGGTCGCCATGACTACAACACAAATATAGACATTTTATTTACTATCCAGAACCACCAGTGAACCTACACGAGTCTTCTGAGTTTATATGGAATGTTGATGATGGAAAATAGTGGAAAATCTGAAATAATAAGTTTTCTTTGGGGCCTATTTTGCCTCACAGCGCCCTTCAACTTAAAATACATTTTTGGTCAAGATCTTCTCAAAACTATCATAAAACTTTAACAATTCTGACTCAGTAAATTTATCTAGAACGGAGTGTTTCACCCCAAACCACTCTGAATGACTCTGTTTACATCTTAAAAGGTAGAATTTTTGAAAAATTGATGGGAAAAATTCACCTCTCCACTCAAAAAAAGTTTTCAGGTCAAAATCTTCTCTAAACTATCATAAAACAGTGTCTCAGTCATCAGGCAGTGAATTCATAACCATTTCATGTAGTAACTTTCTGTGAGGGAGCTTTTAGAGGTGGACGTCTGGTTCCTATCACCACCACTGTGAACAGTTCTGACTCGTTTCTCTAGTTTCTAGTTAGTTATGTTGGGTAATATGTGCATGTAATGCCATTAAGGAGGACACCAACTGAAACGTCCTCAGTCAGAAGGACAGATGATGACAGGTCACACATTGAGTTAATCTGAATTGTCAGCTCTGCAAGATGCTCAGCGTTCAAAGCCAGGATTTGAATATCTAGATGACACAATGAGTTTCTGAATAACAACTGTAAAAACAAGCAATGCAAAGTTACAAAGGCAAAGCTGTATCTGGTACTACTGTGGCAATTCCAATAGAGGGCGCTCCAGGCACACACAGTGATTAAAACTTGGCAAAATGAGTTGTTACCTGAATACCAGCTAGTCTACCATGTTTAGGACACTGCAAATATAATACACTCAAAAGTAGAAAGTTTCTTTCAAAAATGTGCAAACAGTGTAGCATGAATTACAGAAACAACTACCAAGGTCATCTGTCCTTAGCTAAGCGCTAGCATATTTAGAGCTACAGCAAATTTAGCAACATCATGCTTTAGAACATTCAGCACATTTCTCAGCCAACATAAACACAGCAAAGCTATGTAAATGACTACTACAGTATGGCTTACAGTTGTATGAACACACACAGAACCCACCATGCATGAGGGTCCTCCAGTGGGCAGTGTGATGAACCTCCAGTGTGGTTTCAGTTTAAAGGGCTTTCTGGGTAATGTAGTTCAGACACAGCTTACTAAGAGTTAACATCAGTTTACACCTCAACCTCCTCATTATGCTTTTATAGTGAGGAACAATACAGGGCAGCCAATCAGCCTCACAGGGAAAGCATATCAGCCTTAAAGGGAAAGTAAAAAACACCGCAAGTGGATCTCACTCAGAGTAAAAACTGAAATACCAGAAAAATGTATCAAATCCATTAAAACCTGAAATCCAAATCTGAGCCTTTTAAGATGATTTAGGGACCTGCAGACGCCATCAGTATGAGACTAAGTGTGCTAAAATATATGATGTTTCCACAGGCCGACCCAACTGAAACCATATCTGGCACTGACCTAAGCAACCTCACCTACATCACCTCCATCGGCTGCGGACTCTCCATCTTCTTCCTGGGTGTGGCCCTCTTCATGCACTTCCTGTTAAGGTACAGTGCGGAGAAATGCTATATATATATATGTATATATAATGCACTATTTTTGTATATACAACCCCAATTCCAAAAAGTTGGGATGCTGTGTAAAATGTAAATAAATGTAAATAAAAACAATGCAATGATTTGCAAATCTCATAGACCCATATTTTATTCACAATAGAACATAGAACTCATAACAGATGTTGAAAGTGAGACATTTGACCATTTCATTAAAAACATTAACTCATTTAGACCTTGATGGCAGCAGCGCATCTCAAAAAAGTTGGGACAGGGCCAACAAAAGACTGGAAAAGTAAGTGATACTAATAAAAACCAGCTGGAGGAGCAAAACTCACATGACCGGGTATAACAAGGGCATTTTAGAGAGGCAGAGTCTCTCAGAAGCAAAGATGGGCAGAGGTTCACCACTCTGTGAAAAACTGCGTCTAAAAATTGTGGAACAATTTCAGAAAAATGTTCCTCAATGCAAAATTGTGAAGACTTTGGATATCCCACCATCTACAGTACATTATATCATCAAAAGCTTCAGAGAACCTGGAGAAATCCCTGTACGCAATGGACAAGGCTGATGGTCAGTATTGGATGCTCATGATCTTTGGGCCCTCAGGTGGCACTGCACATCGCAAGTCAGCGTCCCTCAGACAAAAGGAAATGCTTATTGACTTCCGCCGAGACCCTCCTGTCACCGACTTTTATAAATGGCCAGCTGTGGGGACAGTAGGTTAATTCAATACTTGGGCACCCTCCTGGATATCAACATGACGATCAGTGCTGAGACTGCAAAAAGGCCACTGCGAGATTTTCAATCAGGGGTTTTATCGTTGATCGATCTTTCCTGAAAGTGTTTTATTCATCTTTCATTGAGTCAGTTTTAACTGTCGCAATGATCTGTTGGTTTGGCAACCTCAGCAGAGTGAATGAAATAGCCAGAAGATCACTAACCTGAAGGACCTTAGCCATCTTTATCAAGTTAAGAGCCATGATGAGGGCAAAGGCCATTCTGGCAGGCACTCATCACCCTCTTCAAGCACAGTTTTGTCCCCTGCCATCAGGACGGAGGTACACTTTCCCTAGAAGGGCCAAATCAGACAGATATCTGAGGTGATTTGTTCCATTAGCCACTGGGCTTTTAAACGAGCTGTAGGTCCACTGGCCAAGGACTTAAAGACTCTCTGTGTTTTTTATATGTCTTTGTAATGGCAATATGATGACACGTATTATATTACATAGTACAGGGAGATTCACTGGAAAGAGGCCCTGAATATTCTGTAATAACTCTCTCTGGGACGAAGCAATCTGAACAAAACAACGTGTGATGAGCTCCTCAGTATATAAAGCTTTGAACAAGCCGGGATGCCCCTGCGTCGGAGCGATGAGGTAGGTGTCGGACAACCGTCGCAATGTTTAACCTTCATTTGCAACTTCCGGGTGCGTACCCCCGTAACCCTTCATGTGTCTGGCAGAAAACGGAGATCACTTCCAGCATCGCATGGAATGCAATCGATTACACAGACGTCAAAGTATGTAGCGTATTTTTTTGGTTCAGATTGCTTCGTCCTACCGGGAGTTACAGCAGAATATTCGGGGCCTCTTTCGAGTGAATCTCCCTGTGTATGTATATATGTGTACCCATGCCCTTTCCTAAATAGTATTTTATTCTCCTTTTTTATACTGTGTGTTGATTGTGTTGGCTGTTGTCTGCAAACCAAACTGCCCCTCGAGGACAATAAGGACAATCTAATCTAATTTAGACAATGAATGCAGTGCAGTCTTGGTCCAGAAACATTTACTTCTCCACCGTCCCTCCACAGGAGATCGAGACAGAGCGATTCAGTGCACATCCTCATAAACCTGTTTGTGGCGCTGGTCCTGCTGAATCTGACCTTCCTGACCAACGAGTACGTGGCGAACACGGGGAACCTAATAGGCTGTAAGCTGATGGCGGGCTTCATGCACTACTGCCTGCTGACCAGCTTCACGTGGTTCGGTCTGGAGGCTCTCCACCTCTGTCTGCAGCTGGGCAGAAACTCCACACCTATCAAACACTACCTCACCAAGATCTGCATCGCCGGGTGGGGTGAGTTCAGACAGAGTTGCTGAGAAACGGCCCAGGGCCAACATTCTCCTAGGGGTTTGTTTTTCCCCTGTGCTCCACTTATGACATATGTCTGATTTTATGTGTCCAAAACAGTCAAAATGAATTTTGAAATGACCATTTTCTGACCTCTCTTTATCCCTTAGAATTAAACAGACTGTATATGCATTGAGTTTTGTGACATCACAACAACACTGAACACAAAAAGGGCTGTTTTTGAAGATCAGTTTCCGTGATTGGACTAGGGAGTGAATGTATTTCTCTTAATTTGAAAAATTTCATTGCATGATGCCACAGAAGAAGCTGACGATGGATGGCTCCTTACCTTTAGATATATGAGATTTAGCAGACTAGCGACTTACATTTTGTTTTCAACTCAGAGAATGCATCCAAGCAAGTATGTACACTATATGGACAAAAGCATTGGGACACACCTCTTAATCATTGAATTCAGGTGTTTCATTCAGTCTCATTGCTACAGGTGTATAAAATCAAGCACCCAGCCATGCAGCCTGCCTTTACACACATTAGTGAAAGAATGAGTCTAAAGAGCTCACTTAATTCCAGCGTGGTGCTGTAATAGGAAGCCACCGTTGCAACAAGTCAGTTTGCAAAATGTCTTCCGTCCTAGATACTCCACAACTGTGAGGGGTATTATTGAAAAGAGGAAGTTTTTAGGAACCACAGCAACTCAGACACGAAGTGTCAGACCACGTAAAGTTACAGAGCGGGTCGCCGAGTGCTGAGGAGCTTAGAGCATAAAAGTCTCCAACGCTCTGCTGATCAATAACTGTAGAGTTCAAACCTCCTCTATCATTAACATGAGCACAGAAACTGCACCAGGAGCTTCATGGAAGCTGCATGCAAAACTTACATCACCAAGCACAAAGCCAAGTGTCGTATGGAGTGGAGTAAAGCGCCGCCACTGGACTCTGGAGCAGTGGAAACGTATTCTGTGGAGTGACCAATCAGCTTCTCTATCTGTCAGTCTGATGGACGAGTCTGGGTTTGGCGAATGCCAGGAGAACGTTACCTGCCTGACTGCACTGTGCCAGCTGTAAAGTTTGGTGGAGGAGGGATGATGATATGGGGCTGTTTTTCAGGGGTTGGTCTAGAACCCTTAGTTCCAGTGAAGGGAATCTTAATGCTTCAGCACCAAGACATTTTGGACAATTCTTTGCTTCCAACTTTGTGAAAACAGTTTGGGGAAGAACCTTTCCTGTTCCAGCATGACTGAGCCCCAGTGACCAAAGCAGCTCCATAAAGGCCTGACTGGGTGAGTTTGGTGTGGAAGAACTTGACTGACCCTCACAGAGCCCTGACCTCAACCCTATCAGACACCTTTGGGATGAACTAGAACAGAGATTGTGAGCCAGACCCTCTCGTCCAACATCAGTGTCTGACCCCACAAATGCTCTTCTGGATGAATGGACACAAATTCCCACAGACTCTCTGCAACATCTTGTAGAAGCTTCTCAGAAGAGTGGAAGCTGTTAGAGCTGCAAACCGGACCAACTCCATATTAATGCCTATGGATTTAGAATGGGAGTCATAAAAGCTCCTGTAGGTGTCCCAATACTTTTGTTCATATAACGAAGGTTAGAGTCTAAACTACTCTCTGTAGAGAACCATTTTTTGTAAATGAGATGCATGAGTGTGAAGAACCTTTCTAATGTCTACATAATGTAGGAAGAACCCTTGAATTGGAAAAGAACATTATGTAAGGGTTCTCTGTACCTTTAAAAGGTTCTTCCCTGTCCCACATCTCATCCACAAACATGGTGTCATGCTATGGGCCCTTTAAAGTCAAATGTGAACTGGGTTTGATTTGATCTGATAATGTAAAAGATTATTTTCTCTTTTCAGCTCTTCCTGCGGTTGTTGTCACCGTCGTCTTCTGTTTGCAAAAATACAACCAACTAGTCATTCATGCTGACGACGGAAAGGATGTGAAAATGTGAGTCCTTCACTCCCTCATCCCTCACCTACAGCTCCTTTAGCACTCAACCTTCCGTTACATACAAGCACATTTACTTACTTTACACGAGTAGAGTTTTGACGGGTTTGTACTTGTATAAGTATTTCCTTTTTACGTCAACATATGAATATTGGTGAGTGAAGTAATCTACATTTACTCATTAACATTTAGCTCCATTTTTAGGTTTAATTTCATTCTGTTGAGTTGTTTCAGCTTCTAAGCTGCTTTACTGTTGATCACTCCTCTCAATTTGGAGCTTTAGCATCTTATTTCAGACCAAAATGATCCAATAAAAGAAGAATAGAGCCTTTAGTTCTTATACCGCTTCTTATTCACCAGCTACTTATTCAAATTTTCCATTCCATCTTAAATGGTGCAGCTGTCGAGGCCTCAGGTGCCAGAATATCAAGGCACTTTCAGCATGATAGTTTTTTGCCAATAGCAGCTGGATGCTCTAAGAAGTTCCACTGCAGTTCTATAAGTTACTCTGTACTTAAGTACTGTTTGCAGAGGTCAGTTTGGGTTAAATAACTATTAACCCTCTGGGGTTTAGAGGCATTTTTTTCTATGTGTTCATCTCTTCTTAAACTCTCGTTTAAAAGCTCTTCATATAACGTGTCCTCATATGTTTCATATCTAAATGCTCCGTTATCGTCATCACTACTTTCCAAAACCGCTGCAGCAGCTTCAGCAGCTGTAAACTCTCTGCACGCCATTTCACATGAGTCTCCGATGTGGACTGAATGAAGAATGGAGGGTTTCCGGTGTGATGGTCAGTGCTTAGTGATTTCCTGAGTGTCCATTGGTCAGTTTCACACAGAATGTAGACGGACACACGAATCCACCAGTTCCACACGGTGAGAGGCAGATGACGTGTATCTCAGCCCCTCTTCATAGGCTCATAACTCTGGATGTGAGTCTCGTATGATCTCGTGATAAGATGGAATGGAAAGGGCGACTCTACAGATTCAGGAAGTGTTTTTAAACTGGACTTCTGTGCTGGATCATCACAAAGATACACGAACAGATGTAGAATTTGACAAACGGGTGAACTGGTGGACCCCAGAGGGTTAAAGCCTCAAAGAGGCTTCGCATGGCAGACAGGCGTGTAGTACTGCAGGAACCAAAGCCTTCAGAAAAGAACAACACGCAACAATATCCTAAATAATGAAGATAATGTGAAATCATCATTTTGTTTGCAGTGTGTGAGGTGTAAACAGAGAGATTCAGAGTGGTTTGGTGTGAAATGGTTCAGATGTCACAGTGGTGGTGATAGGAACCAGGGGTCACCATGACTACAACACAAATATAGACATTTTATTTACTATCCAGAACCACCAGTGAACCTACACGAGTCTTCTGAGTCTATATGGAATGTTGATGATGGAAAATAGTGGAAAATCTGAAATAATAAGTTTTCTTTGGGGACTATTTTGTCTCACAGCGCCCTGCGTGTATCCCTCCACCATGAATGGAGTTTAAGTTCTCTAAACTATCATAAAACAGAGTCTCAGTCATCAGGCAGTGAATTCATAACCATTTCATGTAGTAACTTTCTGTGAGGGAGCTTTGAGGTGGACGTCTGGTTCCTATCACCACCACTGTGAACAGTTCTGACTCAGAAAGTTTCTCTAGAACAGAGCGTTTCACACCAAACCACTCTGAACCACTCTGTTTACATCTCAACCATTTAATTATGCAGAAATGTTGAATAATCGGTGTAATTCCCCTTTAAGACAGGTTGATTCACTGCTCTCCTGAATTTACACAGCATATTCTAAACTGCTTGTGTTCTGAAGGTGCTGGATCACAGACTCTGCTGTCCATTACGTGGTGAACATCGGCTACTACTCCATAATCTTCGCCTTCACCTTAACTACCTTTGTCGTCATGCTGCGATGGATCTTCCTCCTCAAAGGCACCGCCGTGAATCGCCATAAACCACCTGCTGCCTCCGGTAAGCGCACAACAACTGGCACCTCTGACGCCCTGACTGTAATGGGCCTGTGCTGCACTCTCGGACTCACCTGGGGCTTCGCCTTCTTCGCCTACGGAGCCCTGCGCCTCCCGTCCTACTACATCTTCACCATCCTCAACTCCTTCCAAGGTGGGTCAGAGAAGAAAGAGGAAGGGTTAGTTCTTCTAGAATCAATGCTGTTCTTAGTTCTGAAATAAGACAGTATAAACATAAAGTAATACAACACAGCAGTGCTGTAGCAACACTTATAAGCAAGTACTGTAGGGAAACTGTAGTGTTCAAATAAATAATTATATACATCCCTTCAGTCGCTTCATATACAAAGCACCAAATATACCGAATGATATAATAATTGATAATTATCTCTATCATTACAAATGGCAAATAACAAAAATAACATTAAGTGAATATACAAAGATTTAAAATACAACATATTACTAGCATAGTCATCAAGGTGGTAAATAGATGAGCACCAACTGCTTATAAATTAAAGATTTTTCAATTAAACACTGCTTTGAATGAGTACTCTTTTATCTACATGCAGTAGGGAAAGCCCACCACTCAGCGCTAGCTGACACAACTAGAAAGCAGGCAGGTCATAAACAGTCATTTCAGAACGAAAAACCAACCCCACTATCAGGCCTTCCTCCCACCTCTTCTCCAGGCCACTGGGAGGGCAATCCCACTTCTGACACCAATGTGGTGTTGGCGTAGAAAAACAACATGCAGAAACACTCTTTTATTTACATGCAGCAGCAGGGAAATCCTGCCACTCAGCACTAGTTGACACAACCAGAAAGCAGGCAGGTCATGAACAGCCACACAACTCACCCTGACGGTAGGCATACAGACCCTCTAACAAGCCCCCCAGCCCAGCACATAACACCACGGCCGGGACGCTACAATATGTATATTTTTAATATAGTTCTTAATACAATAATTTTATCACATTTATAGGATAGGATGTCATGCCTAATATTACCAATGATAAAATCACTGTAACACACTTAAAACACACCATTCACTCCACAGTCTGTATACAGAAGTTCAGCTGCTGAGTGGACATTACTTGCAGGTCACAACAAAGCCCAACAAAGCCCAATCGGCAGATTCAGTGTGGATCTGTTTGTGTCTCTCCTCAGGATTCTTCCTGTTCATTTATTATTACAAGACTAGCAAGTTTGTGGGGGACCAGATGACCTCAGAGAAGACCACCAGCACCGCCACGGAGGCCACCAGCATGGAGAACCCGTACGAGAAGCCGAAAGCGTTTTAAGGTACAGATCACTGGATAAAAGAGGAGCAGCCATTGTGACGTGATGCCACCTGGACTATATTCTCTGCGTTAGGATGACTGAAATGTGATTCAAGCTAAAAGGCCTGTTCTAGTGTGCAGGCCAAAAAGAACTTTAGAAGCTGTATAGTGGGACTTTTAACTTATAATACTATTTAATGTGCCTATAAAAAGTAATAGAAGTAATGAACCCTGAATCTGCTGGAACAGTAACAGTAAACACTCTGAGAGAATTAGGAACAAAACATCTACACCAGTTTCACAGAGTCATTACTGTACTTGCTTTACATTTCCATGAAAGCAGTCTCGATTCCAGACATCCACAGATCCAAACACGCCTGGGTCTGATATGGCTTCTAGGATTGGGATGCGATCTCATTGGTTTAGATCACAGCTTTCATGTCTCCCTCCAACAGTGCTGTAAGTAAAAGCATCCAATTCATGATAGCAGAACATTCATTTCCTCTGATTAGGTCATCCATTGGGTCAAGATTAACATAACAGCACAAACATCTCCTTATTCTAATCCTCAACCTAAACCTGTGTAAATACACAAATCCAATCTGTTAAATAAATGAAGAAGTAAGGCAAAGTTCATTTTAGCATTTAGATCCTCCTGCTCTCTGTTTACTGTGGAGCTCTGTACATAAACACGTATAGATCTGTTTTCAGTTTAATGTATGTGACCGATTCTGTTTAGATGTATTTATTCCTGCTAAATGTGTTTCAGCTCACGGTCGTGTGCAAAAGTTTCAAATGACATGTTTCGTGGAAAATACTTTGAACACATCCTCTACAGAGAGCACACTTGGAAACTCTGCACACTTTAGGTTTTATTTCCCCCCCCCCAATATGTTCAATTCAGCAAATGAACAGCAATTGTGTATTTCTAAAATGCAGAAGTGTGTCTCTGTAGAGGATGTGACATTTGTGCAGGGGTGCACAAACTTTTACACACGACTGGACCAGGTGTTTCCTCTCTTAGATTCAGTCTAGCAGTAGACAAACTGAGGAGGAGAGAATGTTCAGTCTTGGAGAGGTTGTGGGAATTAGAAAACACGAAAACACTATAAGCTGTACAGACCGGCGCTGATTATGTTTATGTTTTATTATCAGTTTGCAGAATTGAAATAGAAAAGGTTTTACTCTCCTTTCGACTTGCTTAACCGATGCTAGACTAAATCTGTGGAGTGAGAATAAACCGAGCGCTTCTAAAGATGAATAAACTATTTACTGATTTTAGGTTTTGTGTTGTTTTGGGTTTGATTGCTTGGTAATTGCTTGTTTTTGTCTATTTTGCTGGTGAATTTATCTCACAACTTAATCTAACATCACAATTCAGCTACTGGGTAAAGTGGTGTTAATATTCAGCAGAAAAACATTATTATGAAATTATATTGTTATATTAAAATGTTTTTGGACCTGGGAGCCGTATTACAGAAACGTCCTCTCTTTTTGTCTTCAGATCTGACAGGTCAAGATAAGATTTTTCACAGATTCATATTACAGAAGAAAATCTGATCTTATTTAGAAATCTTAATCTTATCTCCAGTTAGAAAATCTTAATCTACACAATCAAAGTCCACAATCAACTGTCATGTCTGTTTCCTAGCAACCGACCATACAGACACATAAACGTAAACGTTCATACAAAAGTGTGATAAACTAGAGATCAAGAATTTTGTGAGAGCGCCCCCTGCTGTTTATCAGAGTGTCGCCACTCCCCAGTTTCAGTCTCCATTTCCCAAACGCTTTAGCTGAGCGCGCTAACGTTACTCCTCCTAATAAACAGACACACGTTCAGCTCCGCCTCCTCATTATTCACCACCATCACTGTAATATTTCATCATCAACATTAACACACGAAGGTAATCAGAGGGGCGGTGGAGATCGAGTCTGCAGCGTCTGAGATCTTTAAAACGCAGAGTTAGAAAAGAAAATCATCTCACAGTGAAAGCAGCGTTTTACAGTAGAGATAAATGGAGCTCATTATGCTGGTAGTGAACTATGCTGCTGACTCAGCTGCCTAAAAACCATAGAAACGGACCTTAAACAGAAGTGAGGACCCTGTTGGGGTTCATCCTAAAGTTAGGACAGGATTTAGGAGGTTCAGTCTAGTTAGGATGTTTGTGTGATGCTGTTTTCTTATCTGGAGTTCATGATGAGATTATGAAGGTAGGAACTGTTACTCTGTAATAGCTACTGTCCGAAATTCAGTCCGTACTGAAGTCGTCACGTGCAAAACTGAAGAAGAGCCATGTATGATGGACTCATTCGGCGTGAGGTTACTGTTCCTGGTTTTAATAGTTTGGTTAGAATCTTCCTGCAAGTGTCCATATGAAAAACCTCTATAATATGAACACACTGTGAATGAATGGCACTCTCTGCTGTCATTTTTTGGCCTCTAAGCTAGAGATGTTCCTGGTAAAACCACATGTTTGCCTGTGGGGAGAACACACAATTATTAGGCCGTCATGTTCGTGGAGCATCAGTGATGATTTGCAAACGGAAGTATAAACATGCACGCAACACATGCATCACCGCAGGTCTAAAACAGGCACTAAAAATAACTGTGCAGCACCGCTAACCTCAAACATATCACTAATACACAATGAGTGACTGAGTTGTCAAGAAAGCATGTCTGAATTTAGTACAGAACTGGGAGCCAAAACAAAACAACACCAGAAACTCACAGTTTAGTCAGAGAACAACCTTCATTTCTTTAATTTCCAGTCGAAAGTGCAAGTTCTTCATTGTTCAGGAGATATTTGTGAGGAGGTAAGATAAAAGATACTCCACCTGCACAAAGAAGGAGAAAGTCAAAGTGAAGCATAAAAAACCTACAGAGAAAATTAGGCTCCTAACAACCACCTGGAAGACCCGGTAGACCCCAAAACTGCCCCCATCAGATAAACAGCACTTAAAGCTTTCATCTCTGAGAGAGAGGAGAAAATCAAGCTGCTTCAGATTTGAAAACATCCACAGGTGTTTCTGTCCATCCTTCCACTGTGAGAAGACGACTCAGCGCTGTGGGTCTGAAAGGATGTGTAGCTGATCAAGAAGAACCTCACTGAGAAAAGGAGACGGACACATCAAACAAAGAAGCTGAACGATGGACTGACCACCCCAGAGTCCAGACCTCAACACCACTGAATGTGTTTGATTACTTCAGAAAATCATCAACCAGCTTCTAAGACTGAACTTTGGAGGTGTGTCTGCAGATTCTTTGAGGAACTGAAAGTGAGACTCCTGAGAAGAATGGAAGCTGGAATAAAGGTAGAGAGTGACTCACTGAATACTAAACACTCAAACAGCTGATTAGATTTAGATTTAGTCGTTGATGCTTCTGTGTAATTTTTAATTTTTTTTTTTTTGTTTTTCCTGATGCTGAAAAATGAATAACTTGTACCTAATGACCTCTCTGACTCTTGGAAAGGACAGTCCACTTTAATACAGGTGCTTTATGTGGCTCATTACTTAAAACAGACTACAGTGGGTTAAAATTATAGGGCATGCATAGATCAGCGCAGACTGCTGGTCACCATAGCAACACAGACAACAATCTCATCTAGCTAGTAGCTAACAAAATGGCAAAGAGAGAGAGTTAAGATGAACATCGATAATTTGGAGATGAATGGACTTATTTGAGTTTATAATCACTCCAGCTGGTTTCCTGATACGTTTAATCTGCAGTGAGAAACTGAAGCACTAAAAAGTCATGAGGCTGAAGTCAGTTTCTTTTTCTCCAGCTTCTTGTTTCAATTTCCCTGATCCACCTTAAATGGTGCAGCAGTTACATTCTGGTGCCTCAGTCACCATTTAAGGTGGAACGGGGAAATTCGAACAAGCAGCTGGAGAATGAGAAGCGACTTCAGCCTCGTAAAAAGTCAAATAACGAGAGACTTTTTACAAGAAACTGTTCTACTTACAATGAAAAGTTTCCTGCTGGAGATGCGAGAAAACCGGCTATAGCTGAGTTAAAGCTTAAAGCAGAGTAAAATAAGTGTGTTTTAGTTTATATTTTTTATCCTGTACTAGTACATTAACACATACTGAGACACATTTACAGCCAAGATGGTAAAATAGACATAGTGTTGAGGCTCCCAATGTGGTTTGATTTTTGCTGAAAGAACAAAATGGCTCTTCTTAACATTTGGGTTGCGACCCCTGGTTTACGTTGATTATGTCATCTTGGAAAAAGTGTCCTGTAAATGAAGTCTTAGGCTGTAGTTTTGTCGTGGGTCCTAAGTGCTGGTGTGGTCAGCCTTTGAGCTCTGACCACTGTTCCTCTTCACCCACATTTGTCAGTGTTTGGTGTTTGACTATTTGGCCTCACTGCTTACTGGCATTCCAATTAACCCTCTGGGATCTGAGGGCATTTTCTTGATTTTTACTTCTTAAATTCACCTTTCGTTATGATTCGAGATGATACCCATGCTTTTCATATCGAAATGTTCAGAACAATCTCAGCTCTCTCTGTAACAGCTCTCTCCAGCAGCTGTAAACTCTCTGCATGTCATTTCACATGAGTCTCCGATGTGGACAGAACGAAGAATGAAGGGTTTCCGGTGTGATGGTCAGTCCTTAGGGTTTTCCTGAGTGTCCATTGGTCAGTTTCACACAGAATGTAGACGGACACACGAATCCACCAGTTCCACACGGTGAGAGGCAGATGACGTGTATCTCAGCCCCTCTTCATAGGCTCATAACTCCGGATGTGAGTCTCGTATGATCTCGTGATAAGATGGAATGGAAAGGGCGACACTACAGATTCAGGAAGTGTTTGAACTGGATTTCTGAGCTGGATCATCACGAAGATACACCAACTTAGTAGAGACATCCAAATGACGCACAGGCAAGTAAGTGAAGCCACGTCATAAAGCTGGCATGTATTTAGGAAAAGAAAACATTAATATCTGTTGAATTGTCTGAGCCAATGAAACAGCATTTCCTCTGAATAAACATTTGCATCATAGACAAATTCCACCACACAGAGAAACTGCAGTTTACAGAAGAAATACCACATCATGCAAATTATGTACCAAGTCACCTCAAACCTTATCACACACAGCATCTGTTACAGTAGATACAGTCTACATCTACTCGCGTCACTGAGAAGACCAACTTCATCTGACCAGGTAAGACACACGTTTTTCAGCTAATTTAACAGGAGTAACTCAAAGAACAAGCAAAACTACAGAGTTTGTTACTTAAATCTAACAAACATGCACTATAAGTATCCAGACAGTCCTTCTAATGGTTGATTTAGGTGCTTTAAGGTCCATAGAAAAGTACTGATCAACAGAATGGAACATTCTTGAGCAGCCTCACATTAGCCCATGGTCACTGTGGAGCAGCGGAGCTGTGTTCTTTGGAGTGATGGAGCTCCAACCAATACCTTTGGGATGAGTTGGAGTTCCAGAACTGACCATCCAAAATCAGTACCTGACCTCAATAATGCTCAATCAAACCCTCACAGCAATGTTCCAACATCTAGTGTAAAACCCTTCATTTCAGAAGAAACGCTACTAACTTTTACACGTATAGTGTATTTAAAGGTGCCAGAGATCCGTTTTCTATAAATGCAACATAAAGCTCTTTGTTTAAGTGGCTCATGTGCTGTATTTGGGTTGTAGGAGTCAGAACAAATATATATATATACAGTTCATAACCTAATCTAACACCTTCATTAATTGAAAAATACATTTATATATATATATATATATATATATATAATAAATATAAATATTTGGTATTTAATTTATAAATTCTACATTTATAAGTAGACCTTCTTTTTTTTTCTTTTGAAACTATGAGTATCCGTGTGAAAGTAGCTAAGCAAATGTTACTACTTATAATAGAGTATTAGACAACACTACTATATGGGTTCTGTGTGCTTAGTACTAAATGCAGTGATGTGAATAACTGTGGTAACAAAACTTTGCAGGAATACTGTATGAATAAACAGTGCCCTCCAGAAAGATGAGCAAAACCCTCGAAAAAAATTCAAAAACAAAAAAGCAAATGTGCCACGATCATCGCTGCATTTACTCCGTTGTGCACCCTGTCTTGAGTGCGCAGTAAACGCAGGGGTGCCTATAATTGTGGTACATGTAAGTTTTTTATATGTATTTTTCTCTTAATACTTTGACCTCAGTGAAAGCTTCAGTTTATCTGGTTGTGAGATCTCAGTGTGATCACTGAGATCATAAGGCTTTTTATCCACAAACGATTTCGCTCAT